CATGCATCCCTATGTTTATAGCAGCATTATTTACAATAGCCAAGATATGGAAGCAGTCCAAGTGTCCATCAATTGATGAATGGATCAAGAAGATATGATATATATATATCACATCTGAATACTATTCAGCCATAGAAAAGAATGACATATTGCCATTTACAACAACATGAATGGAGCTAGAGAGTATTATGCTAAGTGAAATAAGTCAGTCAGGAAATGACAAATACCATATAATTTCACTCATATGCAGAATATAAGAAACAAAACAAACGAACAAAGGGGAAAGAGAGAGAGAGAGAAACCAAGAAACAGACTTAAACCGTAGAGAACAAACCGATGGTTACCAGAGGGCAGATGAGTGGGGGGATGGGTGAAATAGGTGATGGGGATTCAGGAGTATGCTTGGTGTGATGAGCACAGGATGATGTATGGAAGTGTAGAATCACTATATTGTGCACCTGAAACTAATATAACACTGTATCTTAACTATCTGGAATTTAAATAAAAACGTTTTAAAAAGAGTGTAAAATAGGGACACTGAAATGAAAGGTCATCATCTTACGCTTTGCTTGAGGAGTCAGCAGCCTCTGACCAGGATCAGCACCTCTGCTGCCTTAGGGACAAAGTTGAGGCAGGGGGGTCAGGAGGGAGATGGCCTCTACCGGTCTTTGCTCAGGCTTGGGAAGCTTGTGTTCAAGCTGAAATTTGGAGCCACATGATCTCTTTCCTGGGTCCACTCTCCCTCCAGAAGATTAGTACCCATCCATAGCAATCTGCCTCTTCTTTGATATTCTGAGGCTGATTCTATAGTCATGAAAAAAAATCCTCCCATTAACCACGAGGAAACAAAGCACAGAGGTGAAAGTAGGAGTTATGTGTCTGTGCCAGAAACTAGGAATACATTAGGACCAAACTAAAGGAAGAGAGTCACACCATGTTGCTACAGGGGAGGGCACAGACAAGACGGAGAACATGGCACTGACGGTTTGTGCATGCTTGAACTATATTATAAATTGTTTATTACCAATCATATAATTTGCTGTTACCTGTTAAAACTCTTGAAACCGTGATCTCAAAAGTTAAAAAAGAAGAACTTAGAAGAGATATGAAAAGCGTCTATCTTTGCTGGAGACATTTCTGTGTTAATTTAATGTGCTTGAAATCAAAAAGGGTACAGGATGAGGAAAGAAATCTGAGGGGGGGGAAAGGAATTCAGATTACCCTGAATTGCCCAGATCTTACATTTGCCAGGGAGATCCAAAGCAGACCCTGGCCTCCGGAGTTTTCCAGCACCTGCCCATACAAGCGCATATGGGGTTTTACCATTGGCTAGAAAAACACTTGTAAGTTCACCCATCAATAGCTTTCCTTGAGCGGCTAAGGAAACTTCCTAACAGCACTTCTCTGTACTCTTCCTTAATAATGCAAGTTGCCTAAAAATGCTTACCTTCCTATCCTTAGTCCAAGTTGTCATTCATTCAGAACAACTGGGAGTTCAACTTCACTTAATATACTCCCCAAAACATAAGGCTCTGCTTCTCAGGGCAAGGAGACCAAGAATGTGATGGAATTTAGAGGAAGGAAACAGCGAGGAACAGCTGTTGACCAAATGAACAAGGGCAGGGATGATATGAGAACAATAATGATAGTATGACCTTGTATTTCAAAAGCACCTTTCTGCAAAAGGCTCGAAGTGCTGTGTAGATTATGCAGATTTTGTCTCTTAATCCTCGGTGATCGAAAAAAATTAGATTCATTCTTATTAACGTGTATTTCCATAGCTACCCACAAATATTTTGGCTGTTTCTATTTGCTGTGTCTGTAAGTGCAATTAATTTCTTCATTGAGCAGTATCGGGAAATCCCATTAACTTCTCAGCTTCTTCAGTTGCACAGGGTGATGTTTTCCGTAACGTTGGGCAGTAGCTTTTCCCTTCTTTTGCCATGTTTCTGGCTTCACTGTACTTCGTTGTACTTGTCTGAGTCCAGGTTAGTATGTGTGTCTTGCCCTTTCAATCATCAGAACTTGCCTACAAACTCTGCCCCGCGGTTCCATTCACCACCATCAAACTTGCACCCTCCTGGTATCATAACCTCTGTGATTCTCTTCTGTGTGACTGTTTTAATGAATGGCATTCCATTTACATGGCTGTGTAGTCATTTTTTTTAAATTTCTTGACAACAGGTACACATCAACCTGATTTTTCTCTTCATTCTCCATAATGTAACTTAAGACACGTCTTTTCTCCCACCTTCCTGAACTTGACAGTGCCATGTGACCAACAGCTTCATCACAGGTTTCTCCCCAGGTAGTTCTATATATTCTGTCTGGACATCTCCTTAAATCCTCCTTTTTTACGTAGTAGAAGTCTTTCTCTAAAAATTCGTTTTAGTCTAATGTGGTTTCGTCTGATGCATATTAGTTGGAATCAAAGATCTTAGAAGTGAAAGAGGGCCCCTCGATTTTTTATCTATCCCTCTGCCTTTAAGAAGATACATACTGCTTTCACGAACAGGTGGCGCCACTGAAGTCCAGAGAAGGGACTTGTTTATGGCCACACCTCTATTAAGGAAGCAGAAACTGGACCCCTGCTCCCCAGTTGAGGAACAGTGGGAGACTGGAAAAGGCAGTTGGCCCTGGAGAAGGGAAGTCTCTGAGTCAGTAAAGTAATCAATTGGTACCTGGATGGAGAAGTTACCAGTGCTTGGACTCAAGTCTATAACACTTAAGGAATATTAATAACAACCACTGAAGAGCTATGTAGGAATGAAAATTACGGAAGAATGGAATTGTGCTCAACAACTAATGTTCCAATCATCTAATGTTCCGATAATCTAATGCTGCACAACAAACTACCCCAAAACTTAGGGGTTTCAAACAATATTTTGCTCACAAATCTGCAATCCAGGCAGAGCTCTGCAGGGACAGCTCATCTCCACTCCCTCCAGGTTAGCTGGGATTGCTCACAGTCTGAGAGAATCATCTGAAGGCCTACTCAACTCAGACATGTGGAGGACAGAATATGGGGCTGCCAGGGCTCCATCCAGAGACATCACTCTGTACCTCCATGTGACCTCTCCATATGGACCTTTCAGCATGGCAGCGGTAGAAGTCAAACTTCTTACATAGAAGCTCATTGCTCCCAAGGGATGTAGCTCAAGAAAGAGAGTCAGGTGGAAGCCTTTTATGAAGTCATACAGCATCACTTCTGCCACATTCTCCTGGGCAAGGCAATTACAAAGTGCTGTTGAAAACCGACCTCTGTGCTCTGGGGCCAAAGTATGTACCACGAAGACAGATTTTACACATAGTAATAAACTTTGCCAGGCAAAGGAGGCTGCAGCAGGCTAATGCCTCCAGGACTGCAAACCCACCCACAGTAAAAGGCTGAGGGGTTTTATAAGAAAAAACAGGATCTGGGTGGTTTCAGTAGGAAACTGGTACTTGCTGCCAGCTGCGTTCATTATGTCTTCAAGCTGGTCTCATGACAAGCGCTGGCCATCCCTGCCTTGTTACTACGTATACACTGAGATCAGCGAGATGTCAATATTGACACCGCATTCCTGGAACAAAGGATTCTACAGAAAAACAAGTGAAAGGGAGGAGGAGGCTCCAAGAATTAGGAAGAGAAACATCTGTTTAGTTTGATGTCAAGCCTTGCTGAAGCACTAGTGTGTCCATCTTGATTTCCAGCCCTCTTTATGTTTCTATAGCGGTTTCAGAATGTCTTCCCAGAGGCAAGGATATAGACACCCCCTCTCTCGATGGATGAGTGTCAACATCATATTGCAAGAAGAGTACACGGGATGAGATCTATATCAGAGCAGCTGTCTTTGGAAAACACAATCTGCCATAACTGAAAACCACGGGATTACCAAACCACTGAAACAGCCCTTGAAAAGGCCATCCGTTTGTCACTAACAAAACTCATTCTGCAAGATGAGCTCAAACGTAATTGTCCCATCCTTTTGGAATTCCTCTTCGATGTCCCCCAGCTTCCATAGCCCTTCGTAAATATGCCCACTCTGCCATCAGGATGTTCTATTTTCAAAACATGATTGTAATCAGGCAGGTACTATCAACCTGTCAATTAGCCAAACTTCTTTTTCAAATCAATCAGTATAGCATAGGAAACATCACAATTTAAAAGAGTCTTCAGACTGATGGGGAAGTGACCCCTCAGGGGAGCCACAAGTGGTACTTTGCATAGAAAACAGAGCAGAGAGAAAACATCAGCAATTCTGAGAAAAACTGACATCAAAGAAAAAATATATATATACACATATATACGTATGTATTTGTCCTACATTAAAGGTAGAAGGTATAGCAGTACAGTAAACGTCAAAACAACCTTGAGAATGAAGCAGCTGGGATGGAAGCATAGCCTAAAGCAGTGTTCTCCAACCTCACCTGCATCAGAATCACTTGGAGAGCCTGTCGAAACACCCCCAGAGCTGCTGACCCAGCAGGTCTGGGTCGGGCCTGAGAATCTGCATTTCTCACGAGTTCCGGGACGCCGCTGTTTGTGGTCTGGCACCACGCTTTAAGAACCACTAGCCTAAAGGTTTTTAGACCTGGAAGTAGTGGCCACAGCTGAAGCCCTGGCAAGGATGAAGGAACCAGAAGCGCCACAAGAGTGGTGGGCGGGGAAGATGACCCACGGGACGGAAGTGGCCTGATTTTAACAGACCCCATTTCTCCTGTTGGTCCCCCTGCAGGCCCGGGCACGCTCCAGCCATTGCATCGCGAGCCCGTTCCCCGCCCAAGGATGACTCCGCCGCGCCGCTGCAGCCGCGGTAGCGACGCGCCCCCTCCCGACCGTCCCGGGTAATGTCATCCGAGAACGCACCCTCAGGCGGCCGGCCGAGGTGGGCGGGGCTAACCTCCCTTCGTGAGGCTGTTGGGAGAACGGACCTCGGAGATCCGAGTCCCCGCCCCCGAGCCGTGATTGGTCAACGCCGCCCGAGCGCGGTGACGTGAGGCCGGGGCGGAAAGTTTGTTTGAAGAGCGCGAGAGCTGGGAAGTCCAGGGTCTGCCACGTCCGGGAAAGGCCTTAAGATTGTTCCGCTGCCAGGTGCTCCTTGGGAAACGGGGGCTGCTTCCTCACGACTTTTCGGTACTAGCCGCGTGTTACGTCGGAGTGTCTCTCTGCCTCCCTGGTGCTCAGGTGAGCGTCCGAGTGGAACCTCTGGTAGTGTGTGTGTTGGGGGAGGGGATTAATGTGCTCCTGGCCCCCAGACAGGAGAGGAGCGGGAGGAGTATGCTCTGTTTCCTCAGTGCTCCGAGGACAGTCTCTCGTTCCCACCACCCACCTTCTTAGCATTTGGGATCACTGGTCTGATGGTGCTGGGCCTCGTGGCTCTGGCTGATTAGTTCTCGCAACAAGTTAAAAGTACCTGCTGTGAGTTAAGCACAGGTAATTATGTCCCAGTACTTACGAGTGCCGGGAACAAAGCAGATGCGTGATTCCTATTTGAACTGAAGTGAACACAGCCCCTAAGGAAAGGACTCTACCAGGAAGACCGGTATTACGTGGCGTGACAGATGCTCAGTTCGAGGGGTATGGGGAAACACTTTTAAGGGGTGACCTCTTTGAGAAACTGATATCTGACCCAAGTTTTGAAGGAAGAGGCAAAGAATTGAAAAGAATCAAAGCCTGTGAATTGACTGGCGACTGCTAGTGAGCCTCTACAACACCCGCGGTAGATAGACAGTTGCCTATTCTTGCAAATAAATGGAAACCACACTGCAGGGTATTGGTTCTTTTATTTTCATTAGGTACCGGTTTCAGAGAACATGACGGAGGAACTGGACCTCACAGGACAGGACTCTGATGTGGGTAGTGAAGAGGTGGTCCTAACTCCTGCAGAGCTCATTGAAAGACTGGAGCAGGTAAGCATTAATAATAGTGGTTATTTCACAGAGTCATTGTGAGGGGTAAATGAGATAATATATGTAGAATGCTTGCTTAGCATATTGTTTGACCCACGATAAGCACTCAGTGTTAGCTGTGAGGAGTAATAATCCTTACAACAACCCAGTGAGGCAAGTATTACTGCCCAACATGAACCAAGTCTCTTTGACTCCAAAATATCTGCTCTTAATGTACTACACCTGCTGCCTTATTCTTGCCTTCTCTCTTTAACAGCCCCTTTCTGGAATTCTCTGTTTATTACTCTAGTATTCTTCATTCTGTCCTACCATGCATGTCATCATGAGTGACAAAAGGAAGATAATTTTAAAATTATATCTTATATGATAATTCTTACTGTATGAGTAATTCTTCATTTGTATTTATAACACAGACCTTTCTGAAAAGCTGGTGAAAACTGGCCCTTTTTCCCAGAATAATGTATGTATACACACACATCCAGAAATTTTGCATGTAATTTCGGGAGATTCACAGACACCCTGAAATCTGCCCACCTAGTTTAAGAGCCTCTGCTTTATTAGGAAAGGATTCATGAAACAAAAATCCTAAAGCACAAAGCATAAAGGAAAAAATGGATACATTCAACTACGTTAAACTTGAGAACTTTTGTTTTTACACCTTGATGACAGTAAAAAGACATGCTGCAAAACTGGGAGAAAATATTTGCAATATTAGTATCCACACTATATAAACCAACTTTACAAACTACCCAGTAGAAAAAAATGAAGTCTTTTTTTTTTTTTTTTTTAAAGATTTTATCCATTTGACAGAGAGAGACACAGTGAGAGAGGGAACACAAGCAGGGGGAGTGGGAGAGGGAGAAGCAGGCCTCCCGCCGAGCAGGGAGCCCGATGCGGGGCTCAATCCCAGGACCCCGGGATCATGACCCGAGCCGAAGGCAGACGCCCAACAACTGAGCCACCCAGGCGCCCAAAAAAATGAAATCTTAACAGGCATCTCCCAGAAGTGGAAACCAGGATGGCTTACTGGCCATCATATGGAAAAGATGTTCAATCTTTTTAGTAATCAGGAACATAAAAATTTAAATCCCAAGGAGATACCACTTCATACCCATCAGATAGGCAAAAATGAAAAAGGTGAACAATATAAAGCAACATATAAATAAAACAACATAAAGGATTGTGGAGCCATTTGCACACTTGTTTACTCTGGTGAATTGGTGTACTTTGAAAAATAATTTTGTTATTGTCTTATCAAGTTGAAGGCACACGTATCTTGTGTCCCAGGCTTTCTACTCCCAGGTACATACCCTAGAAAAAACTTCCAGGAGGCATGCACAAAATGTTCATAGTATTGCTTGCAACAGTTAAAAACCAAAAGTAACCCAAATATCTGTCAACAATAAAATAAATAAAAATTACGATCTATACACACAATGAGAAAAAAAAAACAGCAATAAAATGAATGAAAGATAGCTCCTGCAACAACATGGATGACTGTCAAGAGCATGGTGTAGAACAATAAAAAATAAGTTTCTGAAGAAACCACTTATGCTAAGCTCAAGCACTTGCAAAACTGTTCGAGGCAGAGCTCATGGCACATGCTGGTATGCTGCAGTGCGTCACAATGTTGACATCTGTCCTCTGGGACAGGGGGAGCCCCCAGACTGGTTGCCTCTCGTGGCCATGAGGGGCTCCTTGGAAGGCAGCACAGCCTCAGCTTGGCAGTGGGTGAGCAGGAGTTACATCTCGGGCCTGAAGCTCTGTTGCAGTGCCCTGGGTGCAGCCGAAGAGTTGGTCCATAGCCTGGACAGCTGCTGTGGCCGGAGCATAGCCTGAGGAGCCACCTGACAGGGCCCCTGATAATCACAGCTCCAGGAGCAGATAGAGGATACTCATGAATGCCTGTTAAAAAAATGATTTAAGGGGCGCCTGGGTGGCTCAGTCGTTAAGCATCTGCCTTCGGCTCAGGTCATGATCCCAGGGTCCTGGGATCGAGCCCCGCATCGGCCTCCCTGCTCCGCGGGAAACCTCCTTCTCCCTCTCCCACTCCCCTTGCTTGTGTTCCCTCTCTCACTGTGTCTCTCTCTGTCAAAAAAATAAAATCTTTAATTAAAAAAAAAAAGGAAGAGGAAGGACACCAGTCATTGAATTAGAGCCCACCTAATGATCTCATTTTAACTTAATTACCTCTTTAAAGACCCTGTTTCCAAATGCAGGCACATGTTGAGGTGCTAGGAATTAGGACTTCAACATACAAATTGGGAGTAGAGAGGAACACAGTTTAGCCCATAACAATGAACAGATTGTCATTAAAAATTTGGATCAGGAATCAGATGTAGCTATTTCAAACATAGAACCTGATTATTTAAAAAAAAAAACAAAAACATGGATTTAAATGCAAGTTTCTCACTAAATATTTTGAAAACATTTTGTTTGAAAGTTTTATAATAGTATAAATTTTTCCTAATGTTTTAAAATTTTTACCAAAATAATTTCATAATGTCAATGAGAAATCCCCCTCAAATCTACCCCGTTTTACCCCAGTGTACCCAACAAGTGCTATCATTTTCTTTGAAATCATTGGGAATCATTATGTAGAAATACAAACAAATGTAGTGAGACTATAGAAAATTAAATACTAACATCAGGCTAATGATTACCTTTGAAGAGGGAGGAAGACACAGGGACTTTTAAAATAATGATAAGACTTGTTAATGAAGTTCTGTGTACACAGGGATTTATCTCTCTATTCATGTTATATGTAATAAATATTTCTGTACCTATTCAGTATTTAATAAGATCAGTTAAAAAGAAAAACTCCTGCTTTGTAAGTCCTCTATGACAGTTCAGTCTTTTCTCATTTGTAATGCTCCTTGAAAATACAGACTTTTCTTTCTAGTTAACTTTTACAGCACTAATACAGGAGCTTGAGCCCGTGGAAAAAAAATTTATGATAGTAGCAATACCTACTATTTAATAATATGTCTTCATGGTGATAATTGGAGATGCAGAGACTCAAGGATGTCGAAAGGAATAAAGTGAGCCTGATTGCCATGTAATTCTGAGCTTTGGTTGAAACTAACTATAATTGAAAGACAAGATTAGTTTTCGTCAGTCACCTGTGGATATTTCAGTTCTCTAAGCCTTGGTAATTTCTGAAATGTACCAAATATCTGGGCCTGAGTCATAAATTAAGGATTTAACCTCTTGTTCCAAAACTATTTAATAGTTGATCCTTTTATATTATGATCCTTTATACTCTTAGGCAGTTAGTAAATAATCTGTGTTTTCTCATTAATAAGATAAGGATAACTGTATCCATTCCTCTCATATTATAATAATGAATGAAAAAATATTTGTAAAGTACTCTAAGCTTCCCAAATGAGATGTGTAGATACAGGTTACTTCATCTCTCAAAATAGAAGGGTGCTGGCGCCCCCTCGTGGGAAATGGCCCGTGAAGTCGTAGGAACGTGTTGATGCTATTTGGTGAAAGGTACTGTTTGAACACCAGGTGGTGTTGCTCTCACTAGTAGGCATCATACTGGCAACACTTTTTTTTTTTTTTTAAATAAATGGTATTAGGGAACTGCAGAGGCAAACTGACAAAATTTTTGAAGTGAACAGTGATTTTTTTTGCAATTTTGGTTAAATATAAAATTGTAAGCACAGCCTTCCCACTAAAAGAAATAGAAAAGCCATCATAAACATAGCTTGTTTACAAAGCATTTCCAGTATTTCCAACTCATAGGCAAATAATTTTCTTTGCCGGAAATAGCTGTGATTTTCACGGGATATATACGAACTCACAGGGTTATTTTGCTCCATTGTGAATGATACTGATATATATATATTTGGCGGGGGACATTGTGTTTTAGGCCTGGATGAATGAAAAGTTTGCCCCTGAGCTGCTGGAAAGCAAGTCTGAGATTGTAGAGTGTGTCATGGAACAGCTAGATCACATGGTAAGAGTTGCTTATCTCGGGATTACAAAGGAGGAGAACTTTAAAAGGGTTTTGTCAGCATAGTGAGAGGTTGAAGTATGATACCAAATATGTTTTGTTTGGCCCAGCCTAATGGGTTTTTTTAATATTGAATTAGTTACCTGCGTTAAAGCATGAGCATTCCTATGACTATCTGCACATCAGCTTCCCCTCAAAAGTCTAAAACCCTGTCAGTACTGGGCCCATGTTTCTATTAGAGAACGGCTGACCAGAGCAGGGTAAGGGCCATCCCCTTTCATGTGCTCTGTTCCCCACAGTCCCTACCTACCCACCTTTCTCAGATAGCTTGCCTGCCTAGCCCCCATAGACGCTTGAGTTTGTGGCCTTTGGCTTAGATGGGCTGGGCTTAAGTCATTATTAGCCTCAGAGTAGCTTTACAACATCAGTATTTTGCAATTTCTCAATTGGTGATTTAACACTGCCCTTAGACATGTCTTCTGTCTGCTGTATTATCTCCTTTACAATTGGGCCAGAGTTCTTCTAGGCCCTTCCCACTCACCATATTCAGATTCTATTCAGATGGTTGTTTTCTAAAAGTAAATGAGTATTGATTGAACTTTTTATAATGAGGCTGTAGTTTTTTGGTTCTCCTTTGACCTAAGTGTAGTCTTCGAGTGCTCAACATTGCCGGTGATGGTGGTCCCTGTGCAGCTGTGCAGACTGAACGAGAAACGTCCTTCTTCTGAATACCATGTTTTTTATATACTTCATTTTCTCTTTTAATAGGAAGAAAATCTCAGGAGAGCCAAGAAGGGGGATCTGAAGGTCAGTATCCATCGAATGGAGATGGAGAGGATCCGCTATGTCCTTAGCAGCTACTTGCGGTGTCGGCTCATGAAGGTTTGACACGGAGATACCTATAGTTAGTGTTAAGGCAATGCAGTGTGTAATATGGACTGAGCGTCTTGGGGAGACATCAGGCTGGGGCCTGGGAGAATCCAGGGCCTGAAGATGCTGCAAAGCCCCAATATCAGGGTAGCTAAAGAATAAGGAGGGCAAGAGATTATTCTGGAGAAGCCTAGATGGAACATACATTGCACACCTCCGGGGACATATTTGTAGTCTTTGTCTGCTGTGTGAAAGGTGCCCCTGGAATTACAGCACAGCAGTGCCGCAGAGTCGTTTGCATTGGTTGACTAGGGAATACTGACCAGAGGCAAAGAGTTTCAGAAATTATTTTGCAGCCATTGTGTAGCCAGTGTCAAATTGACTGTGATAACTTGACATTCAGCCATAGTTATGAGGCCATCTAACTTATGAAAATGAAATTGCAAAACGTTCTTGTTTTATATGATGTTTATTTTAATTCGGAAAGTTCTTACTTCTATGAAGTATCTTCTCATTTGGTTCCTCTTGTTCCCTTAGTTATTACAAAATGAATACATCCTCTCCTACATGAGAGCGCTCTCAAACATCTCAACCCTTTGTTTCGTTTGCTCTCCTGGTTCTGACAAACCAGATTTATCCTTAAATCATACCACCTGCAGCTGAGTACAATATTCCATTTGTAGTTTGGCCACTTTTGTGAAAAACAGGATGATCACTTCCCTTATTCTGGATATTAAACTGTAGTAATGCCACCCAGTATCACATTAGTGTATTTCACAGACACATCACACTGTTCTTTCTGCACTTGCCATGAACTCTAACCTCTGAAGTTTTTGAGTTACCATTTTCCCATCTTGTCACTATCCTATATTTGAATGGTTTGATTTTTCGACCCCTAAGTGTGGGACTTGATACTTACCCCTCTTATGCTTCATCTTATTAAAGTGGGCCGTTTCCCTGTTCTCTGGATCCTGATCTTGTCATTTAATATATTAGCTCTCTCTAACATTTGATATCGTCACCTTATGTCAAGTTTGACAAGTATGTCATCAAAGGTCTTATCTGATTCATTAGTAGGACTGGGCCAATGACAGGAGAGTCCACCAGAGACTTCCCTACAAGTCAACATCTGTCTGTTGAATCAGTGTCATTTCTTCAGCTACTTCTGAGTCTATACTGATCTATACTCTCACAGCCCAGCTTTACACTTTGCCCCCAAGGATGTCATAACAGTGGTGTCATGTGTTTTGACAAAATGGAGATTAAAAAAAAAATATGCCTCTCCACCCCACCCTCAACTACCAGGCCACTTTTTTTTTTTTCTTAAGTTGGATAAATCCTCTTCATGTTAACCACTTAATTTTGAGTTCACAAACCAACTCTTAAATGATCTGTTCTAATATAATGCCACATACCCATGTGAAGGCCATTAATCTGTATTTGAAGGTTCCCCACCTTCTCTGTATTTTTGGAAGTTGGGAAATCGGCCCGCCTCCGCTATTTCTCACTTCTGTGAGCGCAGTGATTCTGAGACTGTGAGACTGCTTGCATCGGAGGTGCACTAAGTGACGGAGGGCGGTTGGCGTGCGCCAGTGCAGAGCACTTCATGCTCCGAAACACCACACAGACGTTCATTTATCCTGGAATGTAATTGGTCCAGGCCAAAAGACATGAACTCCTTTAAGCAGATAAGGGCTCCTCTGTCTTGGCCTGGGTCCTCGTCCCATTGTCATTTCCCTACTTACATTTCCTTCCACAGAGAGCCGTAACAGCACTGACTCTGAGTGGTGGCCTGATCCCTATGCAGTTCCTGACCACTTATCTAGCGTTTTATTTTTTTTTCTGTTTTGTTTGTGTTTTTTCCTGGTAGTTCTTATCATTTTTTCCTAGCCTTGCCTCACTGTGGACTTCATCCTTGCTGGTTATAGTCTTACAATTAAGAGTCACTGTTGTCGGGCAGCTGGGTGGCTCAGTTGGTTAAGCGTCTGCCAGGGTCCCAGGGTCCTGGGATTGAGCCCCGCATCACGCTCCTTGCTCTACTAGGAGTCTGCTTGTCCCTCTCCCCCTGCCCCTCCCCCTCGTCATGCTCTCTTTCTCTCTCAAATAAATAATTTTTTTAAAAAGTCACCATTCTCTCTGCTTGTGTATTCTATATGTGTCTTCCCAGCTTTTGTACATGCTTCATCTCATAGAACAACCTGTGCAATTGCCTAGAAATGTTAAATGATATCCCCTTCTCTCCCTCATTAATGTCATTTACAGTTACATTTTCATATTTTCTTTTATGAAAGCCTCTCATCCTTTTTAAGTGGTCTTCCTTTTTAGAGCCCTTATCTTTGCTCTGCATTCTTTGAAACCTGCCTCCTTGAAATCTTGGAAGTCTAGAAAGGGTCTTGACTGTGAAGACTTGCCATTTTTGAAGTCAATTCTAGGTTAACCTCAACCTATTTCAGAAAATTAGTATATTTGACTCTCGAATCCTGACACATTTACACAATGCTTTTTATTTATCCTCAGATAGAGAAGTTTTTCCCTCATATCCTTGAAAAGGAGAAAACACTCCACGAGGGGGAGCTGTCTAGCCTTTCTCCAGAGGAGCTGGTCTTTGCCAAACAGTGAGTAAGCAGGACGCGTGGGGACTGCTTTCTTTCCGTGGCTTGTGAGCATGAGTTTTGGTGGTTGTCTCCATGAAGCTGATGGCTGGACCACTGTTGTGTGTCTGACAGCCTGGCGGCTCCTGCCAGGAGGGTAGTCACAGCGATTTGAGTTCCTCTCTTTCAGGTACATGGCTAACACAGAGACCTACCTCAAGAATGTTGCCTTAAAGCATATGCCTCCTAACTTACAAACGGTGGACCTCCTGAGGTCAGGTGAGCAGAGCACTCTCTTTTCAGACCTATCTTCAGGTGCCTTAGAATAAGATCTTCATCTTTACTGTCTAGCCTGGAAAAATAAATATGTAGATAAGCAAAAAAGAGAAGAGAGGATGTCGTTTGGTTTAAAAACAAACAAACAAAAAATCATTGCAGCTCCTGGGTGGCTCAGTTGGTTAAGTGTCTGACTTCCGCTCAGGTCATGATCTCAGAGTCCTGGGATCGAGCCCTGTGTTGGGCTCTGCACTCAGCAGAGAGTCTGCTTGTCCCTCTGCCCACTCCCAATCCCTACTGCTCGTGCTCGCCCTCAAATAAATAACATCTTTTAAAAAAAATCATTAAAAGCAGGTGTAAGGGTAGCCTTTTCAGCGTTACTTTTGTGGTCTTTAGCTTAGGTTGAAATTCTTATGACTGTCATTAAAAATGCAAACTCATTCACATACGCAGTCATTCATTCCTTCAGCTGGTATCTACTGGGCATCCACACTGGGCTAGGCCCTTCTGAGCACTGAGGAGCAAAGGCGTCTGCTCTCAAGGGGCTAGCACGCTTTTCCTCACGGATTCCAGTCCATGCAGGGACCATCTAGCTATCCAGAAGGAGTCAAACAGGAGGCTAGAGACCTTCAGTGACTCCCAGTCACTTCCCGGCCACCTGGAGGAAGGGCCCCCAATATTTTCGTTGTGTGGGGCATCTCATGGAAAGAGGGGCAGGGCTAAGAGCAGGAGGAGAAAGAGAAGGCAGCGGGGGGGACACAGCCAAAGCCACCTTTGTGCTCGCCTGGCACAGTCCCCTTAACATCCTGCTGAGCTGAGGGAAGGGAATTACGGTAGTCACTCTCAACCTCGGATGAGCCAGCTGGGGACCCCCTGACATCCAGGTCAAAGTCCATACCCCTCAGTCGTTCATAGTGTGCCCTAATCCCAGCAGGACCTCATCAGGCAAAATTGCCAGACCAAATCAAACGGTTCTCCGGGGGACCGGGATCCACCTTGTTCACACCCTAAATGTAATGCGCTGAGGCCACAAGTTCAAGTACAACTGAGCCCTGGGAATTGATCTCCCACCTAGCCTGTGCTGGGGGCCACCCTGTGACCCCCATGGCAGGTGGAAGAGTTAGGGCAGGACGGATGGAGACATGGTTCCCCGGGTGTGTCAGTCAGCTCAGGCTGCTATAATGAAGTACCACAGACTAGAGCAAACATTTCTTCTCTGGAGGCCAGAAGTCTGTGATCGAGGTGCTAGCAGGGTTGGTTTCCTCTGGGGCCTCTCCCATGGTTGCCCATCTGTGCTCGTGCACCCCTCGTGTCTCTTCCTCTTCTTTATAAGGACACCAGTCCGATTGGACTGGGCCCTACCCTGACGGTCTCATTTCAACTTAATTACCTCCTTAAAGGCCCTATTTCCAAATACATTTCCATCCTGAAGTACTGGGGTTAGGGTGTCAACATATGCATTTGTGGGGAAGGCAGGGGCAGGTGCAGCCGATAACACCAGGAGCAAGGTAAACCCATAGCAGATTTGTGGAACTCTGAGCTGGTCATTTTGGTGAACCTGCCTGAGGGAAACAAAAGGCCCGGTCTATGTCCAGTTCCGCCACTTTTTGTCTACATCTTGGAAAAAGAGGAGTGAAGCCAGGACCACATCCCTAATCATTGCCCAGTGCTATCGTACCTAGTTGATTAAAGCAACCATGAATCTAACTGAATTCTACTAGATGCTGGCCGACACCTCCTAAAACACATGTCACTTGTCCCAGATCCCTTCCCAGGACTAGAGCCAGGTCCCTGGAATTGGAAACTTGTAGAGGGGATCAACCTGCCTCAGTGAAATCAATCTTGCTTGGTTAGCCCAGGTGCTCTGAGTCCCCTTCAGGCCTCTGGAGC